CTTTTTTTTTTTTTTTTTATCAAGAAGACCTATCCAAAAGGGGCAAGTGTCCTGGACACTGTTCTTCCATGGCACACCCACGTTTTCCTGCCTGTCAGAAGAGGATCTGCATTGATCAAGTTAAGTTCATTCTGTGACTTAACTACAAGTCAGACTGGGCAGACTTAACTACACACCTAGCAAGTAACCTGAGGTCCCTGTTACTGCTTAACTGAATTATATCCAAGTTCTTTGGGAATGGCCTCTCAGGCTTCCATGGATGATGAAAAGAGCAAACACTTATTGGGTGTCCATTATGTGTTAGGACAGCACACAGCACTGCATATACTCTCTCAGTCACTGTTGAGCACCAAACTGTCAGTTAGGTAATGTATACAATTAATTAGTATTCCATGACATGTGGGAAAACCAGCGCACAGAAATACCAAAGATCTTTGCTAACAACCAACATCGAGTAAATGAGAGTCAGGATTACAATCTAGTTCTGTATGTCTATGAGGCTTGAGTACTGATGCCAAATATTCAGATAACCAGTTAATACAAAGGTAGATAGATTCTGCTCACATTTTGGACACAAAATTTAAGTCTGATTTTAAAAGAATACTTTCGAAGAACAGTGCTATAGAATTTCACCAACTAATCAACATATAGATAACACACAATGTGATTTAATTGTACACAATGTGATGTAAGCAAAAATAACTAGACTTTCGTATAAATTATGTTCCCTGAAACATGCTTACTTCCTCCAACAGAAGCCTGATGTAACTTGAATAGTTGGTACTTTTTCTTATGACTCAAGAATTAGAATTATTATTTTTTATCTTAATTACAAAAATTATTTTTTTCCTCTCAGTTCCATCATGTCAAAAATTTTAGTATTTAGGGTTGGAATCCTTTTGGTTAGGTTTAGATCTCCCTGAACAGAATAGAAACATAATCTATTTACTTTTTGAGATTTATGAATGTTTTCTATAGAGGCTTGTGAATATACCAACCCAGTTAGAACAGTAAATACAGTAAAGTCCTTATATGCACTATTTTAAACCTGAGAATCCAGGGAAATCTGTTGTCTCATCTCAATATTTCTTTTTTATGATTTAATTCACTATAAGGTAATGGTCCTTCCCTCCCTTTCTGTGCTCTCTGATGTATTCAGAAATTTTTGAATCATTTTAAATATCATAATTTCTGATATTAAAATATTTAAAACCCCTCATTTTATTAGTAATGACAATTCCTAATTGGCCAAGTGCTTATGAATCCAGATTTGTGATCATGTAATCAGTATTGAAATCTAGATGGGAGTAACACCACCAAGTTCTGCACTTAGGTAGACCTCAATCCCCTTGCTACAATTCATGTTTTGGAGACATAGGGCAAATTACTTAAATTCACTAAGCCTCAATTTCCTCATCTGGAAAATAATATGACAATATTATAGTGATTTAAGAAGATGATGTATGTCCAGGTGCTTAGACAGAGCTTGCCGCTTGTAATTTCTCAACAAATGCTACTTATAACAATGATAAAAATAATGACAATGGTAACAATAAATTATTTATTGAGTACTTACTATGTAACCATAATTATGACCAAGAATCTGGAAGATATGAAGTGTAAGATTCAGTTACGGCACTTGAAGGGCTTATGTACTATAAGAAACAAATACTAGCAACACAATGAACACAGAATTTGGCTTATGAGAGGTATGGAGTGAGGTCTGGACTTTGCCCCTTACTAAAATTTGGTGTATAGTATCTGTTAGGAACTATACTTGGCTGCTGATTTAAAAAAAAAAGACCAAAAATAAGTCATTTAAACAATACATGACTGTAGTCTGTGAAAGATACTAAAGCAGAAGCTAAGCTGTGCCCAAATCACTGGTCCATAAAAACTGAAGTAATACATGGGTATTGTTGTAAACCACTAAATATTGGGACAATCTGTAAACACCAGTAGATTAATACACGTGGCTCATCATGTTGCAGTATACAATTGTAATTCCTTCATTCTCATTACTTTATAGAAGGGTTTGACAAGCTTTTTTCTTCTGCAAAGGGTAAGGTAGGAAACATTTGAGGCTTTGTAGGCCAAGAGGCAAAATTGAGGATATTATGTAAGTACATCTGTATAATTTCCATTCTTTGCAAATTATACTTTTTTGTGTTTTTTCCCAACCATTTAAAAATGTAAAAATCATACTTGATGAGACATAAAAAGTAAATGGTGAGCCATATTTGACTCATTGGTTTTAGTTTGTTGACCCCTGCTATATAGAATTATCTGGTTATACCACAGTTCATCTCTCCAATCTGTTGTTGATAAATATTTGAGTTGTTTTCCATTTGGGAAACATTAAAATAACGCAGCCACAAACATTCTTGCACATGCCTTTTGAAGAACATGTGTATTCATATTTGTTTGGTATACGCCTAGGAGTAGAACTGCTGGGTCACAGGGTAAGCATATATTCAGCTCAATATTTCAGATTGTTTTCCAAAGTGGTTGTGTGAATTTGCACACCACAAGCAACATATGTGTCTTTACTGCTTCAAAATCTCGCCAAGAGTTGGTATTTTGTGTCTTTTTATTTGGACATTCTAGTGAGAACTGTAATTGTTTTTCCTTAGCACTTTCCAGGCGATTCTAATATTCAACCAGAATTGAAAACCTCTGCACAACTATTGCTTATCCCTTATTAGGCTGAACCACATGAAATTACATTATTTGAAGGTTTTTAAAATGGTCAAACGTTGGCTATTTCATATGGTTGAAACTAACGTCTCCTTCATATCTTATTTATACTAAAAATAAAACATTTAGAATGCACACCATTGGGAAATATATTAAAGACTTGATTTAAGACGAAGTTTTAAAATTAACAACAGATTTCAGTGACTTCTATATTTTAATATCACCCAGACATTTAAAAGGTTGGAAACAGACTAATAGTTTTCACCCTCAATGAAGACCGGAATCTCCTGTGGGTTTTTAACACCTTAAGTACCTCTACCCAAACCCCTAAAAGCCCTAATTCTGTGAGACTAAGGTAAAGCTTAGGAATACCTATTTGTAAAAGGCTGACACACAGCCAAGGTTGAGAGCCATTGATACTACCTGTCCTATGGCTTTCTTTCACATTTATTCAATCTAAGAAAAATACTTAACACTTTGGTGATTTTATATACATAAAATAGGGAAACACCTGGATGTCAGTTCTTTCCAGATTTTAGAATGCTTAGCTGCATATTAGGTTTCCCATAGAAATTATGTCTCACTGAATGGGTCTCTCTCTACTGTACCTAAAAAATAGGCTTAGGTTTGATTTGCACACAGCTCCATGGACTCAGAATTTTTTTTTAAAGTACCTATACACGTATTATTATATTACCCAATAGGAGGACGAAACATGTAATTAGTGACCAGAACAACAGGTATGCCTGCATACACTTAGAAACAAAATTGTTTTAATTTTTTTTTTTTTTTTTTTTTTTTGCTGATGACCAAGAGAGACAAAAACGTCTAAGTAGTCATCATGGGAAGAATCCGATTTTTGTACGTCCTTATTTGACAGAGATTAACGTTATATATGGGTGACCGGGTGAATGTGGTACCAAATGCATTTCTGAACTCAAGGTCTTTAAAAGTCTTAATCCAGTCTTGAGCCAGATTTATTCCCGAGGCTATTCCGTTGCCCATTCCAGCCATAACCGCATCCGTATTTCTACATGCAGGAAAAAATGTTTAGAAACTTATTTTTTACCGGCCGTCGACTTGGATTGCTGTCCACGTGATTCCCCTTATCCTGTCTGCTTATAGCATCCCCAGCACCTACAGTTAGGACGTAGGTTCAGAAGTTGAAGGAACACTAATTCTTAGGCACTGTTAATTATTAGGCCCTATCCCAGCTATTAACAGGCTCCAAGGCTAGGCAAACTGAAAGCCTCCTACCCAGGAAGCCAGGCAGGCTTTCATCTGCCCTCCTCCGGGCCAGTCCTGGTTCCCAGACTTTGTTCCTAACAACCCCTTGGGGATGTTGTGTATTGGGGATTTTCAAGCCACTTTTCCTCCCCTACACCCCATGCCAAGTATTTAGCCACCAGAACCACCCTGTAGGATCAGAAGACTGCTGTATCAGCGGCGGAATTTCCCCACAAAGCCCATACATCCAGAGTGCGAAGGAACAAATTTCAGCCTCATCCTGGGCAGCGCTCTCTGGCCCAGGTGGAGAACCATAAGCGGCCGGTGGATTTGCTTTCCCCACTAAATGGGTAGTTCAGGAGGCCGGGGGGCGGTGCCGGCTGCCGAGGCCATCGGACAAGCCCGGGGAAGCTCATCACACAGCCGAGCGCCACCTGTCCACCTCACCACACCTGCTAGGGGTCAAACCCCTTGCAATGGACTGGGAAGAGCTCAATCACGGGTCCCTACTCGTAGCACCGAACCGATCTCAGCGCACGGCCTCCTGGGAGATGTAGTCCGCACCGCTTCCCTGGACCCACACCCTCCCCGGCACCCCGGGTCCCCTCACAACTTCCTCGGCCTGGCCAGCTGAAGTTGGAGGTGCCGTCGGATTGTGGGGACCAGACGGCGCCCCGCGGAGGACTCGAGGTGCTCTCCCGAGTCCGAACGAAGGGAGGGAACTACACTTCCCAGGCCGCCCTGCGCGCGCCGAGCCGGGAGCCGGCTGCCTCGCTTTGCGTGACCGCGGCAGGTTGGTCCTGGAGCTGATGAGCGCAGAATATTTAGGCGAAAGCGAGAGGAGGGGGGGCGTGCGGGGCAGGAGGAGTACCTCGCCAAGAAAATTATGCATGTGTTAGGAAAGCTCTGAGAGAATGGCTGTGGAAGGTAAGGGACGCTTGGGGCATTTTTAAGCTCCCTCTTAACCCGCGCACCCCAAGCCATACCTCCCCGAGGAAGCTTGGCGACCGTGGGGGAGGCGAGGAAAGCGGGTGGCGGAGAGCGGGCCCCTTCCTCCTCCACCTTTTGGCACTCACCTGCGCCGCCAAGGCCAGTAGGCGCTTTAATTCAGTTCTTTGGAGAGACGTGAAGGGTAGGTGCGCAAGACTTTGAGGTAGAAGGTGTGCAGAAGAGTGTCCCTGATGCGAAACGATATCCTGGAAATGGGGGGAAACCCGGGGGATCCGGCACGAGGTTCTGGCCCCAAGACGCCCTTTTTTCACTGTCCCCTCCTGCCGGAGCAGACTGCATGGCCCCGGGGCTGGGGATGCTTGGCTGGCCCCCCTCACGTGGGAGACGTCCCCGGGCCAGGTGCGTCCTCCGGAAGCTCGGACTGGGAATGGGTCGAGGGCCCTTCGTCCTGTGCCCCCAGCAGCGGCGGCCGCAGATATACCCAGAGGGTGGAGATATCCCTACACCTGTCTCTGCTGTTACAGCCAGCGCCCCGGGCTTAGCAAAGTTTACCGGCAGGAAATGTAATCAGCCAGGGAAAAGAAGTGCGACAACCTCTTCGATTTGGGTGAATCCTTTTCTCTGAAGACCACTTTCTGCTTACAGTCTTGAGCTTCGGCTTTGCAGTTTTGACCTTACAGCCCTGCCTCCCTTGAACTTCCTGGTTGAAAGCAGCATCGGGCTGCTCGTGAGGGGTCCTGAGTTTTTCGTTTCAGATTCTCTTACCTTGGAACACAAGCTTCCTTGTTTGGGGTAGTTTCTGAAGAAGGAAAAAAAAATTGTGGACCAGAAGCCTTTGTGATGTCACATTAGAGGTCAAGCTGTGCCTGAATGATGAAATGATTGTGGGACGAAATGGGAGCCTACATTCACCTACAGAATTATGGTTCCTGAGTGCGGTCAGGTCAGAGAGGAACTGAGGTAGGGAAAGGAGGGCATGCCTGCTAGCTGCTTCAGGCACCTTGCCAAGGGGAAATGAGCCTGTTCCATGTAGGCTAGAGACCGAGACTAGAAGAAACCATAAGGGCTGGTTTGCTCCTCCCTCTCCTCCCTGCCCCAGGAGAAACAAACTGAACTAATCTGACTCTTGCTCCCCTTTTATTGACTGTCTTAACAACCCGAAGTAGTAACCCAGCTCCTACACTCAGCACCCATAAACTCTAAAAACTATTTGCCTTTGTGTTATCTCAGGTTCAGATATCCACAGCCAGCCACTTCCAGCTTTCCTAACTTTATTAGTAAAAATGAAGTCCTCTCTCTTACAACCAAGATTTTTCTAGGTTTTCTTTTCTGTGCAAATGTACCAGAAGGGTGACAATCTGGCCTTTTTTTTTTTTTTTTTTTTTTTGCATCGTTACCATTGATAGTGAGTCAAGACTTCAAATCAGATGCCAAAAAAACAAAACAAAAGCCGAGATAAAGTTCATCTTGAGCCTGAGACCAAGGATATGTTGACCTGCTCCTGAAGTATCCCTTCTATGTCACCCATCAGGTGACACTGATTATGATCTCTCCTCTTCACCACTCCTGTGTCCCCAAGAGAGGGACACTCCCCCTTGTTGCTAGTCCACACTGTTCTTGAAAACAATTTCTTGTTCACTGTAAGAACTATAAATTTGTCCTATTTCTTGCCTGATGGGTGATTACACCAGTGAAGCCAGACTTTACAAAAACAAGAACTTAGGAAGGGAGTACATGTGGACTATGGAGAATTTAATTTCTAGTGACTTATTTGGTTAAAGTATCTGTCTAGTAAACAGGTGATTCTGACTTTGATTCACAATGAGGTCTCAAATAATGAATTTTAATCCTTAACTGCAAATATGATTCCTATCTTTGGTCTTTGCAAAGATGTCAGCCTGGATCAGTCCCTTTCTAGTTACTCCTGCTTGGTCTTTCAAGTCTCAGAGAAAATGTCATTTCCTCTGGGAACCTGTCCTAGTCCTCCTTTTCCTTCTGCCTTCTCAGCAGTCTTTCCAGTCTATGGGAGGTGCCTCCTGCTCACATTTATCTTAACATTTAACATACTTAACCTGTCTCTTACTAGACTCTAAGCCCCTTGAGGGTTTGACTTGGACTTTATATTCCCAGTTCATAGCACAGTACTTGGCCCATAATAGGTACTCAATACTCATGAATTACATGGCAAATATACTCATGGAGCTTTTGTAACTGGTTCTATAAGGGTAAATGGGGCTTTCTTAGAAGCCTAAATGCCATACAATAAGAGATGTCTGACAGATTTGAAGACAGGAGACATTTAAAGGAAGTGTTCATCTCTATAGTCTTTTATCTTGATGCCCAAAAATCTTCTAGAGCAGTAGTTTACATCTACTGCTGAGTAACATTGTCCCTGGGCACATTTGGGATATGTAGGAACTGCTGCTGGGGGCTGCTATTGGTATTTTGTGCCTGTGGCCAGAGATAATAAATGTCCTGCAGTGCACTGCCATCCTGTATCAATTTGCCAAGCCATGGCAAGTAATGACCAGTTTACTCAACTCACTGAGAAATGCTGCTTCAGAGAATAAGGAGTTTTGCTAGAGGAACTGAAATAGAAAATACAGTACGGATTACTTAACAACTAAGCTGTAGTTTTCATATCTGGAAAAAAAAAAAGGGCTCACTACTGGTTACTTGCTGGGAACATTGTGAGGATTAAATAAAGAAGAGGGCTTCTAGAAGGATGTCTGGAACCTGGATCCTAAGTAAATGTTACTTATACTGTCATCCCTCTTGAGAAAAGGCATACTATTTGGCATGTGTTTTATATTCTGAATTTTCACTTATTCATGCCAGCCAGTTTTTCTAATTAGTAACAAATTAGAAGGTTTTTACTATGTGTAACATTTTTAAGTAAACTTGAACTTGTAAAAGTGTTAATAGCAAGTAGTTCACTCATTCATTTTACTGAACCTGCAGCTGTGTGTTTAAGATGAAAAAGAGGTGCTTTTAGTTTATTGTTCTGTGGCTACTTTGGGTTATGTTTTCTTCTCAATTTAATTGCATCATCCTACTTTTGTCTACAAGCCTGATTGTGACCCATGTTTTGCATTTATGGGCAGCTTACGGGTGTGCATTCCAGCCACAAAACAGAGTACAACCTTATGGTCTGTATTTGGTTTAGGATTATATTGGCATCCATTGTCTTTTTTTAAAAAACCAGTGTCTTGTGAAGCAAATGATCAGGAGTAGGAACTAGGACCTCTAGGAAACAGGTACCAGGGACCCCAAACCAATCCATTCTCTATGGACAGACTGTGTAGATGTTTGTGCCTGCTGATGTTTACTAACAGAAATGGGTTGCAATATTATTCAGGGAGAAGAAAAAAGTGGATTCATTAGGGACAGTGTCATATTCATCTCCGTATTCCAGGGATGATGCCTGGCACTTCGGAGGCCCACAGTCATTGTTTCATGAATAACATATAAATGCATGCGTCCCCAGAGCTAGAGAAGGGTTTTTTACTCCTCATCCCCAATTCGTTTTCTTGCTTTATCCTCAGAGATTTATGAAAAACGTATGGAGAATGGACATTGTACAAAGTAATTTCTATTCCATGTCTGACAGAATAGCACCTCTCACATGGCAGAAAAATGACTTCCAATATTCAACACTCACCTCTCTCCCCAAGAAAGGCATGTTTAAAGGAAGGCCATGTGCTCTTAATAACATCTATATTAAGGGATCTGAATTTTCCATCAAAAATGAACAAATTGGCTTACCAAAATCTTCTGATAAGTCATTCAGTGCTCAGGTTCTATGTTTTCCTCCCGTAGGAGAGGGAAGAAACTACCCATCACCATTAATATTTTAAGGCTAAGTAATAATACCAGTGACTGGGAAAATGGAAGATGAGATAGCGTCAAACATTTGTGACAAATAGAAGCAGTCATGGTAAACACTGGGCTTTGGCAGCCTCATAAATGATGACCCTTACCCAACTTGAATTCAGAACTGCATCACAGAGTAAAAGGAGTCACATAGGAGATAAAAAACATCAATTTTATCACAAGGCTACAGTGGGTTATTTTTTCTGATTTGGGGTTGGAGGGTAAGTAGGCTTGCTGATATTGTACCCAGCAGCAAACTTACTCATCATAGGGGTGCCTCCCTCTATACTAGTGATCCTCAACCTTTTTGGCACTAGGGATCAGATTCGTGGAAGACAGTTTTTCCATGGAGGGGTATGGGGATGGTTTTGGGATGAAACTGTTCCACCTCAGATCATCAGGCAGGAGTGGGCAACCTAGATCCCTCACATGTGCAGTTCACAGTCGGGTTTGCACTTCTATGAGAAGCTAATGCCTCCGCTGATCTGACAGGAGGTAGAGCTCAGTGGCAATGCATGCTTGCCCACTGCTCACCTTCTGTTGTGTGGCCTGGTTCCTAATAGGTCACAGACTGATACCAGTTTACAATCCAGGGTTTGGGGACCCCTGCTCTATATCACTGACAGGCTGGAGAGCAGAGAGAACATGGGCTCCTGCAGCAGGCAGGTGGGACCCAAAGGAAGAGATGGGGAACCTATGCTTTGTGCCTTTTCACAGACTTGCTCATCAGACAGTTGACTTCTCCTCTCCTGAGGAGGACTCAGAGGGTGAAGAGGGAGACCAGAAGTGTAATTCTGATGGATTTCCCTTATAGGACACAAGAAGCTCCCTCCTGCCCCTGTGTGACTTTCTTGGTGCTAGTTCACCTGTGCTTTCCTATCTACCTTTTCCTGCTGAGAACATCATTTGAATGTACCTCTTCTACTGGTGGCATTTTCTAAGGGCAAGGACTATGTCTCATGTCTCATCCATGAAGCTTGAATGAATGAATAGAGACAAATGAAGGAATGGGTGGGTTTATGACTGCTTTTGATTTCCAGAGTAACTCTCATACACACTTAATGAGAACTTCCAACTGTGTTCCTCTACAGAGCAGATGTTATGAAAGCAGTGAGACATGGACACGTTTCCCTCATAGGTACTTATCCCTGCAGCAGCATCATGGTGTGATGGTTAAACTAATTACTACCTCATTCTCTCCCATTCACTTATTCCCAAGGGTCTTTTTTTCTTATTTTTATTATGTTCTTTAGACCACCAAATCTGACTTTCCTGCACCAGCAGTTTCTGTTGATCACTTTGTTTTAGGAAGGAGAATGGCGGCTAGAAGTTCACCATTGAAAATTCCTGTCCAGTGACTGTGTGAACAAGAATTGGGTCCTCCAGGTTTCAAAGCTAGTTTGAAACTTGCTGTGGCAGTGGTTCCTGCCACCCCCATCTCTTATGTAGCCCTCTTAGCTAGTTCAGACAGGGCTTCAGTCTAATTGTATAGATGTATTGCCTAGCCCAGCCCTTCCTAATTCCTTTTATCTCACCCTTTCTTTCTCATCTGCCTGACTGTTCTCTCATGCCTGATGAAACAAGGGCTGGTGCTGAGAAGTGGAACAGGGAAATCTTTGCTGGTGTAGCTGTGTTCTGTAATGCTGAGTTGCACTGGATGATGGGGTGACATGTTATAAGGGTGGGGGGAGCTGGGGATCTGAAGCCCATGTTTGAACGCTGGTGAGTGTCAGCTGTTGTGCATTTAATTAATTAGAGGGGATATTGCAAATGCTCATTCACTGGCATTCAAGCAGGTTGTGCATTTCTGTTGGTAAACAGTTGAGCAGCACCCATGTGCAAGGAACTCTATGAGATGTGGTGGGGAGTCTAATGAAGGGAGCTTAGCCCACTCAGCCCCCTGCCAGCCCAAGCCCTCCCCTGCAGCCTCCACCTGGGGGAGGGAGACAGAGAAGCAGATTAGGCTGACTGATACAAGTGCTAAATAAAAGTACAAGCACCATAACGTGGGAGGTCTGAGAACAAATGGAGCATTTAGTTATGAGCTGGATGGGGATAGCCTAACGAAAGGAGTAGCATTGAGTGAGATTTTGAGTAGGATTTTGTTGTGTGGGAATCGGGCAAA